CCCCCCCCACCACCACCTCACTCATAAGTGCATGGTTTGACATCCATCACCATAAACATGTCTTGATTTTTCCCAGGCTTCTCTCACACAGAGCTCATAATTCATCCTGTTTACCGTTTCACTTTGATGTGCTCTCAAGTAAAGGGGGGGTTTGGTAGATTTTATCTGCAGTGATAAACATTTGATTTATCACACTTTAATTGCACATTGATTTTCAGAAGTCTTACCAGAAGTTATATTTTGGTCATTTGTCTGTCTCAGGTCCCCTGGGATGCACTTGGACTCGTCACTACTGCACGTATGAGAAAAGCAGCAAGAACTTCAGCATGAGCAACAATGAAAATAAATCCAGCGGGAAACAGGTAGCTCAGTTTATTTTAGCTTAGTTTATTTGTTCTGTTCATTTTAGTTACACATACAGATAACAAAAGAAAATAAAAGCTAGTACAATCTGTGTGGATGAAACAAAGAACTCCCTAGAGCCTTATAAGACTCAACCCAGATGGGGGAAAAAAGATGACAGGACTGCAACTTGAGAACAGAAATCGAAAGGCTTGTTAACTTAAAGCAGACAAAAATGCTTCAAGGATAACGACATTCACAAATAACAAGAGAGGGGAAGGAATGAAAATAACATTTTAACAGAGAGAAATTGTGTCTTGAGCGTATTCATTACATTTACAAGCATTTGATTATAAAGATTTGTAAAAGCTTCATGAGACTTTATATAGATCCAATAATAAAGTTATACATTTATTTTTTATTTTGTGTATTAGATCAACCTCCTGCCACCGTCCTATACGTTTGTAGATTAACCGATAGGAGGATTCATGTGTTTTTACTTATATAAACTTAAACGGAAAGTATTTGACATCATTTTTGTCATGTTTCCCTTTAATTTGTATTTAATAATGTCTTGTTTGTTTATTTTTAGAATGGCATGGTCGTGAACCAGCCTGAGATGTTTAAGCTCAAGTCCTGCATTCGGAGGAAAACGGACTCCATCGATAAGCGCTTCTGCTTTGATATCGAAGTGATGGAGAGGTCTGTGATCTGAATCATCTATGTTTCCAAAAATGTCTTACAACTTACCTTGACTGAAAAATTGAACTTTAACACTAGTACCATCACCTCAAGCATGTCAACATTTATTTTCCATGGTTAGTTAGAACAGTGGATTAGGAGAAAATGATTAGAAAAATTGAATATGCAAAGATCAGCATGGTATGATCTGTTCAATTTAAGCTTAATTAACCTGAGGTGAAACTGTATCATATTCTAGCTTCTGGTAGTAATAATAATAGCTACCATGCAATTGCTTTGGTTCTTATAATGTGTAAGTTAACAGTAAGAGAAATGTAAGGCTGCATTAATTTTTTAGTAGCATAGCAGATTGACCAACATGAAAACAGTGGTGATGTAATACACACCGTGGATAAACAGACTGTTTGAGTAACCAAAATGAAGATTAAGCAAGCGCATGTAGAATTTCTTTGTTCTCATGCATTTTGCGCCAGCCAACTGATACTGGCAATTAACCTACATTACCCTGGGAGTACTCAGCACTTCAAGAGGCGTTCAGGTCTGATTAACATCTTCAAAGAGTCCCTGTTTACCAGATGTTTTCAGCTGTTTGTCTCCTGCATGTTCCTCAAGTCCTCTCCCTCCCTAGATCTTCGTTTGTTGTATGTGTCCACGACTTCAATATTTACTCCCTTTTTTTTTTATAACCCATTCCGTCTTTTCTCTGTGTTCGTGTCGATGTAGAAATGACATCTATCGTGGAACTCTTTTCAGGCCACTTCAGTTTTTCTGTAAAGTCCGGTATGTGAACTGACCAGTGCTGCCCAGAGCTTAGAGCAGTTGCATGTGCTGCATGTGTGCTGCTAATATCATCCTTCACTCAAATCCAAACCTTCTAATGAAAAACTGCTGCCTTCTGAGCACTTCACAAAATTGCTTGGTCAATGTGGGCTTCAGGACACAACGCATTCATAAATGATTTCCACTTCACTGCAATTACTCAGATATTACATTGATTTATGTCATTCTGAGAATCAATTGATCATTTTGCCTCTTTTTAAACATTTTAATTAATGTGGCTGTATGGGAATATTTATAACTAATTTGTATTTATTGATGTACTGGGGAATAGGAAAGGGATCTAACACATTATAGTTGGCTTTCCACTGATGAGCAGTGGCGGAATTGATCAAGTCAGACGTAACGAGAGCTCGATATAAGCTCATTATTGTGGTGTGTTGCATTATTGTTGCGCAGCACCAGCACGGCTCACCCTTGGCGAGTGTTGCAGAGCATGGACAATAACTGCAGTTTATTTGCAGGACAACTAATTTATCATAAACGGCCATGCCCCCAAGGTGATTGTTCCAACCACAAGGACAATGTGGGCCAAGCTCCAGTCAGCTTCAAGCTCATCCATTCATCCTCATTATAATAAACATGCTGTTACACCTATAGCCCCGCCAGATCCATGCCAACAATCTCACAGCCTCATTTTTAAAGGGTTCACGTCAGTTAATCAAGGGGTATTCAGCCATGCCAATGTTTTATTTTATTTGACCAATTAATACAATTTTATTGACTAGCTCATTGTAATGAAAATAAAGTTATTTAATAAATTCCCAAGCAACATGTCTTTCTAGAAAGAGTATCCACAGTATTCTGGATAATCCACATATCTTGAATTTTTCAGGAGGGGGACTTGGTCAATTTGATAAAAACATAATCTCTTTTTTCATATTTGCTCAAACTTTTACTATATCCTGCTGACAGTAGTGCGTAAGATAGATAACATGAAATACATCCTTTTAAGTTGTACCTCTCTAGGGCATCTACAATAATGAAATACAAATTTAATTACTGTTCATGAACTCGCATTGAACTGTCAGACTAGGCGACACTGATTATAATCATCTGTTATATCAATCAATCAATTATGAATCAAGATTCTGTTACTGCATTGCCTATTTTCTCACCTCAAATGATTTAAAATACAAATGCTGGTGACGTACTGTTTAGCTGTAAAAAGAAAGTAAAGTTGAAACTCATGCCAAACATCGCCCACCCGCTGGAGCTCACTTTTCTCATTTGACGGTACACTGAAAACATTTGACAGAAGAAATAGCCAATGCAGTAACATGCGCCTGATAATTATGTTTGATAAAAGCTGCCTAGTTTTCTTGTTGAACTTCTTTTGTGTTATTTTGTTTTTCTTTTATTGCATCGTGTAAACTCAAAATACAAGTATGATCATTCAAATGAAATTCCTTCCACCTCCATTGTTTTAGAGATACACATCTGAACTTGGTCAAATAAATCCCAAACCATCCACATGGTAGTATATAAATAGAAGTAACATTAAAAATGTGGGCGTCTTTTGGTAATCCAGTTAATATAACCAACTTGACATGGCTCCATGCTGATACTGGGTGAACTTCGTCAGATATTGTTAAAGTTAGTTACTACATCCTGTGAGATAACACTCAGAGAAGTTTCAGCACTAAGTGTAGCACTTGAGGTGAGATATAAGACACTACATTAGACGCAGATAATCGGTAGCGTGTTGGGTGCAAAAAAAATGAAGAAATCACTCTAATATCAAGCACATGTAGCATTTTAATTGGGAGTGGAATGTGATGCACCGAGCCAACCGAGGGCACAGTTTAAAGTCAAGCATTTGCACATGAGCTATTTTAGTCACACAAGTCCTTTTATAGTGGTCTCAGCCAATGTAAACAAGGTCTGTCCAGGGGGCCCCAAGGCAATGAGATCAGACTGAGAGCAGCTTTTCTCTGCAATCTTTACAGGCATGGCGTGATAACACTGCAGGCACAGTCAGAATCCAACAGAAGATTGTGGCTGGAGGCCATGGATGGCAAGGAGCCGGTGAGGAACTGCCTGTTTGTCTTTCAAATATTCATTTTGGCCTGCCTGCTGTTTGGTCTAGGGTTGGGGGGTTTTATTTGTTTGTTTTTCTACAGGAAATCAATACCAAATGTGAATTATTTGCCACTGGCACCCTCTTCTGGTGGGTTAAGGCAGTCTTTTTTGTTTGTTTTTAAGAAACCATGACCTCACCATCCACTTGCTAAAAATAGGAGAGTCCACTTAAAGCAAAGGACAACTGGGGAAAATAAAACTCTTTGACATCATTATTTTCTTTCTGAGATGTTGTTCAGTTTCCCCTTAATTTAATAATGATGTGCTTGAAATGTCTCTAGATCTACAACCTGCCTGCCATATTAAGCAAAAAGGAAGAGAGTAAGTGTGTTCTTTTTCCAATTCATCATCAAAATGCATACATTTAGCTTGCCAAGACTTGTAATAACATCCCAAACACATACATGTCTAACACATGCTTTGTTACCTATAGCTATCTCTGTTCATTAACACAATTACTTGACATACACCCACTCAGCTGACATAGCAGGGCCTTCCAGCACACGGCTGTATCTTATTAGTCAGAGCACAAGCAGAGAGGAGAGCATGATATTCCTGCGTGTTGCGTGCTTAACCCAGGAGGTAATTGACGTGTCAACTCGATTCTCATGTTGTATTACAGCGTTTCTTAATGAGGCAGGCTTTAACTTCGTAAGGAAATGCATTGACCTGGTGGAGGATAGAGGTGAGGCATTTCAATCTCTCAGCTTTAATCTGTCAAATGACATAAGTGCAGCCTGACTGTGACTATGAACAACAATGTGTTTCATTCTTTGGTTGACATAACACATTATACTGCCTCTTAAGCCTTAACTAAACATAGAATCTTTCCTTTTCCCCCCAATCCTTTAATTTACCCCCCGCCATACAGGAATAAATACAATGGGACTGTATAGGATTGGAGGGGTCAACTCCAAAGTGCAGAAGCTGATGACAACAGTGTTTTGTAAGTAGCCGCTAAAATAAGAGAATCTGACATCTGTTATAATTATTTGTCAAGCTTTGATTTAAAATGTTTAGTCATTCTATGTCTGTACATAAATAATTAAATGATCACAGATGGAATAAATACTTAGATTATTAACTTAAGTAAAAGTAGCAGTACTGCAGTGTAAAATACTCAGTTACAAGTAAAAGTCCTGCATTCAAAATGATACTTAAGTAAAGTAATACATATTAGCATTCAAAATACTTTAAGTACCAAAAGTAAAAGTACTCGTTCTGCAAAATAGCCATTTTAAGCACAATATATTTTCATATTTTATATCAAAATCAATGATTTAATTATAATTATTGCTACATTTATGGGTTCATCAATAGTAGGTGATTTATGTATTGTATTGATTGTCTACATTTACAAAGTAACTAGTAACTAAATATGTAATATAAATGTAGTGGAGTAAAAGTATAAAGTAGCAAAATGTGAACATACTCAAGTTACAATACAAGTACCCCAATTATTTACTTAAATAAAGTACTTGAGTAAATGTGCTTAGTTACATAACACCACTGTAAATGATACTCACAAGCCATGTAGCAAAACTAACACAATAGATAACTGTTTATTTTTGTTTTATTTGACCAATTATTCTTTACTTAGCTTGGTTTATGAACAGCCTATGTCCAACCACAAGTTGAATGGAGAGTTTAGTCAAACGTAATGTGACTGCAGAGTGAGGGAAGAGGTCCTCCTGGTGGTGTGACACTGTAACAGCCATCGGCCTCATAACAATCTGTCAATACCTTATTAGATGAGGCCAAGGTAATCCTGTTTGAATCCTACATTGAACAGGAAATGTCAGAATAATATTTTCAAATACTCTCTCAAGCTTGATTTCTGCGTCACAACGCACTGCTGTAAGCATGTCACAGAGTTCAAAGCTTACTTTTTATGATGCTAATAAACAATACAAAAAATGTGTTTCCAATAGCAACCAAGGCACCTGTTGATATGGAGCTGGATCCAGAGACGTGGGACAACAAAACGATCACCAGCGGCCTGAAGAACTACCTGAGGTCAGCGTGCCCCACCGGCTGCAGGAATCATCATTATCTCCATAATGCCTCCTTGAAACCTCCCTGTTGTTAATCATTGATTCTTTGCTGCAACTCACAAGGTGGCTGCATTCAAAAGACCCGTGTCACTCAGGGAAATAAATGTCAACTCTTCTCTTTATTCACCAGGTGTCTCTGTGAGCCTCTAATGACCTTCAAGCTCCACAAAGACTTTATCTTGGCTGTCAGTAAGTTGTGAAAAGAAAACTACAATTGTCGGTTATGATGCTATATGTGATTTACCGTTTATCATTGTATTATTATACATTACATAACATTACATGAAGAGACATTCTTTGCTCAATTCAAAGACATGCATTAATAAGGTAATAATAATTAAATGATAATATCAAATCAATATTTTGCGCAATATATGTTGTTGTATTATTTGCTATGTGTTTGTACTGTGAACTGTTTTTCTGCTTTACTTTCTTGACTTCCCTGCTGTGGGCCTAATGAAGGATTATTGTATCTTATCCAACACTGCTAATGAGGAATTTACATACTGTGCTGTTATACATCAAGGAAAGGAAAATGATGAATTGTGCCAGAAGATATCCCACTTTAATTTGAAAATATGAAGATTTTAAATATATATTAACCAAGTGTATTTTCCTTGCATATTAAATATGTGTATATCACTTTTTAAAAGGGAATTAAGTTTGAACTGAACTGCATTTCAAGTGTATTAATCCACCCACCTCAGGGCTTACATGCAGGCCCTGAGGTTGGGAAACCAAATGAGCAAAGATTGAACCAATTAAACCATCTCAGGAAATAACTACATGCCCTGTGCATCATACAGCCCTTGTGTCATGTTAAATGAATAAGTTAATTTGGTTTAATCTCCACTCAACTACTTTTTTTCACCTCTGCATAAAGTGTCTCAAGTTGAATGTCAATTTTACAAACTAAATTTGACGTTTTAACCACATCTTCAAGTTGATATTTGTTCTATTTAAATTCATACAATTCCAGCTCTATGCGATCAAGTCTATTGTTAAAATGGATACATAGCTGCATCGAGGTTAACAGGACTATTTTCATCCTATTTACGACATTATAATGTTCTGTTAACCTGACCACAGTCACGCCAATAAGATCTTTATTGTCACCATTCTAAAAGTCAATGATGTGACCTAATCGTCATGTTTTTCTGTTGGTACATGAGGCTACTGGTCATTTAATATCCATTTGCCTCTCCTCAGAGTCAGATGACCAGAACTACAGGGTGTGTGCCGTCCATGCTTTGGTTCATAAGCTGCCCGAGAGGAACAAGGAAATGCTGGAGCTGCTAATAAAACACCTCGTCACGTACGTATTCCTGTAATGAATCAGTTACACTGCAGCCCTTTTGAGAGAAGATACAAATAGCTGAGACTGATTAAATTATCTTCACAGGTCTAAAACAGTTTGTAGCTTGTAAAGTACATCCCCTTACCACAAGGTTAACTATCAGTAGAGAACAGCATCTTACCCTTATTAACGCACATGTAAGACATGTAACACATGTAACATTAAGCGCTTTGAGCACCAGGAAAAGCGCTTTATAAATGTAATGTATTATTATTATTATTATGTACCTCCACCTGCAGAGTTTCCGCTCAAAGCCAGTTCAACCTGATGACGGTTTCTAACCTGGGTGTCATCTTTGGGCCCACCCTGATGCGCTCCCAAGAGGAAACCGTGGCCGCCATGATGAACATCAAGTTTCAGAACATTGTGATGGAAATACTTATCGAGAACTTCAACAAGGCGAGTCATTGTTTTGCTGTAAATGTAAAGTACACTTTAAGTTTTACCTGCATAATTTATCCAATTTCTTGAACATCTTACTTTAAAGGTCCCCTATTATACTGTTTAATATATTATAGGTCTCAGATATATACAAAACATGTCTCTGAAGTATTTGGCTCGAAATTCCAAACAGATCATGCATTGTACTGTAGCATCCCATAAACCCCTCTGTTTCAAAAGTGCTGATTCTCTGTCTGTTACTTTAGATGAAAATAAGGAGCCACTCCCCTCTGACAGATATTTGGTTAAAAAGAACACAATGGTGCTCTAGGAGGAGATTCAGGTGATAAGGTGGGGGGGTGTTACCTTGGTTGGTTATTGGCTAATGGTTACACAACCCCAAAAACACGTTATGACATCATAAAGTGGCCAAAATCAGAGGGGAGACAAATCAAATGTATAAATAAAATACATGAAAAAGTGGATTTTGCATAATAGGTGACCTTTAAAGTTGCAGTCCTATTTGGTTTCACCTTACACTAAATGTGGTTGAATACTGTTCCCAGAATACTTTGTGCAGCCAACATTGTCATTCTAACAAAGAGGTCAGGCAATAACTGGCCTGTTTCCATAATGCTGTGAGAACCGGTGATCTGACTTAATGCTGCACGCAGCATGAGTCTGCGAGCAGTGAGAGGAGGTGGTTACCACATAAGATGTTGAAGGTGTGAAGCCTGTCGCCTGCAGCTTTTCATCTGACGGCTCTCACTATGACTGCTACTGACTTTCCATTACTCCCTGCACAATTTAAACCGCTTTTAAATAACTGTTGAAAATGAACGTTGTCTTTTAGCGGTAGTGATAACGGTGAGTGAATCGGTGAAAGTCGACTCATGTTTCAGCAGGCAAATCCTTTTATTTGACGCTGTGTGAAATTAGTTCTGGTTGTCTTAATACCACATCATTTTCCGTGAATGTCTCCACAGAAACCCAATTCATACACTGGAAATACTTTGATCATTGGGCCCTATAGGTGCATTGTGATTCCCAATTTAGCAATAGATAATTACTCAAAAGAAAAGTGTTCTTAATTGGAAATCTTTAAGAATATTGCTTTAAAAGTATTTTATTGCAAAACCCTGCTCTTACTCTTCCTTTACAAACACTTTTACTCCATTCTTATCGAAACTGAGTAAGAGTATTCAAATATTGGTCACAATCTTCAAAATCAAATGCAGGACCAGTCCTCATTAGTAAAGAAGAAACAGATTGTGTTGTTCACTAAACTAATCAGTGCTCCTTCTGGACCTCCAGATCTTCCACCAGCCTCCGGACCCCAACGTGCCCCTGCCCCAGCCCCAGAGCCGGCCGGACCCTCGCAGGAGCCGGGCCATCTGTCTGTCCACGGGGCCCCGGAAGCCCCGCAGCCTCTACACCCCGACACTGTGCCTGGCAGATGTAGAAAGTGAGTCTCAAAGCAATGGTTTTCCACCACAGGTCTTCACACACGTAGCCTGTATTATTGCTCACACACCTGCGGACACACATTTATGAAAGATGCACCTCATTTAAGCTGGGTTTTCAAATACTAAATTCCAGATTAGTACTATCTCTTCAGAGAAAAGCATATTGTAGCTAACAATTTTTTTCATTATCATTCAATCTGTTTACTATTGTATTGACTAGTCGGTAAGAGGTATGCACTTAGAGGTCTTGTTTATTTTGATATAAAACAGAGAAAAGCAGAACATATTCATATTTGAAGGTCTCCTATTATGCAAAATCCACTTGTTCATGTCTTTTATACATAAACATGTGTCCCCTCTGTGCAAACAGATTCTGAAAGTTTCAGGAAAAAAGATTCGCTCACTTTTTGTCCTGATCCATTTATATAAAAAAATGAGCTGATCAGATTTTGGCCACTTTATGATGTCATAACGATGTTTTGGCTTCTGTAACCTTTGTTGGCTTGTTTACCCCCCCCCCACCTTATCACCTGAATCTCCTCCTAGAGCACCATTGTGTTCTTTTTAACCAAATATCTCTCAGAGGAGCGTGGGGAGTGGCTCCTTATTTTCATCTAAAGTAACAGGCAGAGAATCAGCACTTTTGAAACAGGGCTGAAACAGAGGGGTTTATGGGATGCTGCAATGCACGATCTGTTTGGTATTTCAAGCCAAACATTATATATATATATATCTATATATATAAGATATATATCTGAGACCTATAACAGTCTTTCTTTGTAAAATACTTTAAAGATATAATATATCATCTATTTTCTTATCAGCCATAACATATCCACAATGAATTCCTGGCTTAGTAGGTTTTAATGATGGCTGTGTGGGCCTCTTCTCTGGCCCCTGCATAGGTGACACTTTCAGCAGCAGTCCAAGCAGCACCCCCATGGGCAGCACCGAGTCTTTGTCCTCTCACTCCTCGGAGCAGAACAGCTCCTCCAAGACCGCTTCCTCGGCTCAGGCCAAAGACAAGTCTCTGCTGGACCTGCGCAGAACGCCATCGCTGCTCTCTAACGGCCCCAGGAGCGCCATGTGGGTCAGCAGCCCCGAGTCCAGTTCCAGGGAGGAAGGGGGGCGGACAGACGGAGAGTCAGAGGACGCTCTCAGCCTGTCCTCCATCAGCATCGCACCCCGGCTGTCCCCTGCTCCCAAAAAAGCACCGCACTGCCGCATTGACCTCAAGCCAGCCCTGCTGAACCGCTCTGCCGGCCCCTCTCTGAAATCACTGCATATCGCTGAAGGTAGGTCGGCCATCAGGTGATCACAGTTTAAAGGTCACCTATTATGCAAAATCCACTTTTTCATGTATTTTATACATAAACTTGTGTCCCCTCTGTGTAAAGAGATTCTGAAAGTTTCAGGAAAAAAATACCCCCTCTCTTTTTGTCCTGATCCATTAATATAAAAACCTTTCTGAAAATGAGCTGATCAGATTTTGGCCACTTTATGATGTCACAACCTGGGCCGTCCCTCCCTACAGCCCGATCACGCAGATTGCTTGGGGCCCCACCTTGCGGAGGGGGCCTCAACTGAGCCACACCTATGCGCTTATGTCAACGCTCGCGAAACGGAGGGCCTCATCATATAACTTTGCGTGGGGCCTCAAGTTGGCCAGGGACGGCCCTGGTCACAACGATTTGTTGACTTGTGTAACCATTAGCCAATAACCAACCAAGCTAACACCCGACCACCTTATCACCTGAATCTCCTCCTAGAGCACCATTGTGTTCTTTTTAACCAAATCTCTCTCAGAGGGGCATGGGGAGTGGCTCCTTATTTTCGTCTAAAGTAACAGACAGAGAATCAGCACTTTTGAAACAGGGCTGAAAAAAGGGGGTTATGGGATGCTGCAATGGGTGATCTGTTCGGCATTTCGAGCCAAACACTTCAGAGACATGTTCTGTATATATCTGAGACCTATAATAAATGGATGAAAAACAGTATAATGGGGACCTTTAAGCTTGCCTGACAGTAGTTTATAGATTTTGTTTCCCTTGCAGTGATAAAGTGGAAAACAACCTCCTCAAAACTGTCATTTCCAAGACTCTAATCCATACAGCAGATACTTATATCGTCATTAATTATTCCTCTAGGACTTAGTACTTTCAAACACTGACAACACCCCTTCTTGAATTAAGCATTATTTAAACAGCAGTGGGACAATTGTATTTGAATCACTCATTTCAGTTGCTCTTTGCAGTATGTGAGCTGTTTAATTATTAAACGTTAATGTCTTTGTGTCATGTACTTGATATTTGTTGTTTGTCTCCCTCAAGGCCACAGGAGCTGCTCTGGATCCGTCCAAAGTCTGTCCACACTGGAGCCCAACGACACTTCAAAGCCCACCGAGCACCCGGACCTCCCCCCAAAACTAGTGATGCGCTGCAGGCTAGACACCTCAGTCGGCAACGGCTACCAGAGACCTGGCTCAGTGTAATGGATTTCAGAGAGCTTATCATTGTGCTTATTTAACCTACTATTCCTTACGAATTATGATATCCACTCCAGTGTAATGCCGTTGGTAAAAATCGTATCTAAAACCAGTGCTGCAGCTAGTTGAAAAAAACGATTTGCCTATTGGCACAATACGGAAAGGTATTCTGATAATTGGTTAACAGTTGCTATTTAGGTTGCAACTAACGATTATGTTCCTTGTTTACTTCCTATATAAATCGTTTAGATTATAAAAAGTCACAAAATAGTGAACAATATAAATCTCCACTATCTTAAAGTCCAAGGGGGTGTCTTTAAATATCTTGTTTTGTCAGTCCAAAAGATAAAGATATTCAGTTTAATATGATATACAAAAAAAGCAGGATATCTCCAGATGTGAAACAACATTTTTGGTAATTTTTGCCAAAGAAATGACTACCATTTGCTGCAGCTTATCCATAAAGCAAAAAGGCCAACACGTTATGTTCCCAAGCTCTCAATGTGATGAAATGGTGCTTTTTCTTTGATTCATATCATTCTAAATCTAATAAATTAAGTGTTTGACTGTTGGTCGGAGAAAACAAGGGATTTAAAGCAGTTCTCCTGACTCTAGTCGAATGTATTTTTTAGTCTTTCCCCACTTCCTGGGCAGTAGTGGACAAAATGATAAATTGATTATTAAAATAACAAAAAATAGTCCTTAGTTGCCGACCTCTGATTTAATGGATATATTGTAAGGTCTGTTTGTATGTGTGCAGTTTCATGTGCCCCCACAAAGTAGCTGCTAGTCAATAAGACATGAGGACAATAGTTCAGCAACATTTATCTCCATCTTCCTCCCCCTTTCCATGTGTCCCCTGTGAGTCATCAGCCTCCTACTCCTCCGTGTGTTTATGAGCATCGAGCATAGAGAGGTCTCTGAGATCAGATGAGCATGTGAGAGCAGATTTATGTCTTTCCTCTGTGGTGGGAGCACTGCCTTTAATTACGCCCTGCCTGCTCCTGGGTTGATGTGACCCAGCAGCAGTCTGCACTTGTTCTCCCGGAACAAATAGATTGTTTGCGCAGTCTGAAAAACCAGTCACACAGTGTCTCTAATCATTTCCTTGCGTTGCACCCTCCCAACTGGCCCCGGGCTCCGTTGTCCCCTTGACTGCCAGGTTGTTGTGAGTGGGGTCAAGTGCAGCCTTGTTATATAGTTGAACTCAATCCAGAACTGTGTTGCCCGGAGGAAGGAAACCTTCTGTATTGTGTCATTAAGCATTTTACCACGTTCTAAACAATGAGAAACGCTGGAAATTGGAAAGACTCGTATTAGATTGAATTTCTCTGTGGTGGCAGCTTTGCTGATTTTATAGTCATGATTTATTAAAACGGATTATTACTCTGATCATGTGATTACAGGCAGTGGTGGAAGTACTTTACTTCAGTGAAAGTGAAATACTTTGGTCGGAAAATACATCATTACAAGTGAAAGTCCTGATTTCAAAATGTTACTTAAGTAGAAGTATAGAAGTATTGCCAGCTAAATGTACCTTTAAGTACCAAAGTTAAAGTACTCATTATGCACCATGGCTGTTTTGAAAGTATTATAATATTATAGAAATATTAAATGATCCCTTCTTTTAATTGCTTACAAATACATAGTAAGACCATTTCCGAATTTCTATATATATATTGGTGTTAACGTACTGCATTATATCATATACAAATGTCATATTTATCTCTGGATATCATTTCAGCTGTTTAATTTATCCAAAATACAGTGGAGTGGACTGAACTTGTTTTTCTTCTTGTTTCAGGGTGGCTGCCAGAGCACTGCTGTTTGAAAATGCCTCATCCCCACAGTCTGTTCCTGTGGGAAGGTGCAGTAAAAACATCACATTTTCTCTAACAGCGCTACCAAATGAATCACACTCCCATCATGTCAAATGTGCCATTTCATTGCCTTGATTTTTCGTCTTTCCAGGGACGCCAAGGCGATGTATTCCTGTGAGGCAGAGCACAGCCACGAGCTCAGCTTCCCCCAGGGGGCGCACTTCTCAAACGGTAAGCGCTGCCATTAAGGGGCAAACATTAAATGTTCCAGCTGACAGAAGGTCTTACAGCGTCCTTGCATAGGCTGATATGACACTTGGACAGTGTAAAAACACACAGACTGTTGTCTGCTGGCAACACACGGCACAGTCCTGGATCATTCCCAGTGTTATGTGGAGGCACACAATCACTTTGTCCTAATGTTAAACCCTTATCTGCAGCGCTGAAGTATAAACAGCCTGAATGGTTTTTTTTTATTGCTTCTTGCCTTTTCCATGATGAGATGACTTGGCCCACAACCAGTGCAGCAGGTCACTGTAACCTCGCGATGGAAGGCACCAGCGCCTGTTCCTGCTCGCAGAGCCAGCAGCCAAATGCACAAACGTCAACAAATACTCCCCTCCACTTACCAGCAGACAGAGTGCTTTTACTGCTCACCACATTAACAGGCCAGGTTTCTCTACACTCTTGTAGAGCATATCCCTGCTTGATTATTTAAGCAGATCCTTTTTTTTAAATGTTGCTGCATCTGAGCAATGATTAACCCCGTTGTGTTTTATGGCTATACTGTATGTGTGTGATTAAGCAAGGAGATTCTGCCATCAAGTGTGCTAACATACTCCGCAGGGACTGAATCTAAAGAGCAGTCTGACCCTGAGTCTTCTCACTCTGGTTTAAATGTTTATTTTTTATGCCTAATAGCATTTTTCCACAAGACTAGGAAATTGTGAAACCAAATACAGAATGTTTCTCGCTTCCCTTTGCTTTAACTCTTTTCTTTCTTTTTGTCCTGTAGTGTATGCCTCTATTGAACCAGACTGGCTCCAAGCAACATACGAGGGGAGAACAGGATTAATCCCTGAGAATTATGTCGTCTTCCTCTAACAAAGTCGGTAAACATGGCATCTTTTTCATGGTATCCATGAAAAACACAACACACAAAGTGGCAGATTTGTTTTTAATGTTGCTAATATTGCTGGTACTGACATTTCTGCATGTCATGCAGTCTAAGCAGATATCAAGCCAGGCAGTTCTTTAACATTTCAAACATGTACCTCTTTTTACTGTAATAACTTTATTGTGAAATGATTGGGGAATCCACAGAGATTCAGAATTTAAGAAGAAATTCACATTATTTTAAGATGAAAATATATTACCCATCGACTGCACTGATGTATTTAGTCCCAGTATTATCCAACAGAATCACAAAACAATCACGACTAATTTCACAAGTTTTATTCTCAGAAATATATTATATTTTACTTTGTCATTTATATCGACAGAACACTTTCTTTTAATCAAGCTTTTAATGGAAATCTGTAGTTTATTAAACATTTTCTGATAGCTGTAATTAAACAAACTGTGATTGAAAGTAATGATACAAATCTAATCTATTAGAGTCTAATAGAAAAAGCATTATGGGTTGCACCTTAACTGTCATGTTTATTGCCTGTGATCATTGTTCATCCACTGAACCTGCTCACTGCTGCAGTGCACTTTCTGTTAGCCACACGGTACTGTACTGTACATTAATGCTCATGAGCTCTTTAGTAACTGCTAACCAAAAATATGTACTTTGTGTTTTTCTTACTATAAGTTATCACATCAAATATATATGCCGTATGTAAAAATGTGTTTTTTATAATGTCATGAAGGTGGAGCTTTTAGCTTTAATGCCTTAATGTAGTACTGCTTACTGGTATGCTGGTGTACTAGTAATGACAACTAGACATGTATCAGATTATAATAATAAGATACCATTTAATATTGAATGTTCTATTACTGTCACAACCATTTCAAAGTCCATAATTATCAAAGCTTCTGTGATACTTTGTCAGAAAGAAGAAGATAAAAGAAAATATAGACAACATAACTTCTACAATTAATACAAACTGAAAGATGATACCAAAGTCAAACCCTTGTGGTGACCGTAATGGTTGTTTTGAGATCCCATGCTTGCCAAGATCAGGATGTTCTTTTCCATTCTCAACTTCAAGAATGCGAGGTGGCCTTGAACATTCATGCTGGAATAAAACTCCCTCACAGTCTGAAATTGCAGGGGAAATTATTTATATATCCTAAATATATAACGTGCGACACCCTTCTTTTTGTATGGCAAGCTTGTTTCCTTGCAATCATCTACTGTTCTTGACGGTGCATAAACATGTCTTTAAATAAACAGCATGATTTATTCAAACTCTTGTCAACTTCTTTGTCACAGTTAACTTCTCACTGCAGCCAGAAAAACCTTAATTACAACAGGATGAATAGTGAGAATGGATTGTTAGTGTGTCGACTGTTGGAGGCACACTTAACACTTTTGTCTTTATGCACCAACTATAGGGGGATGTTTTTCAATTAAAAGAGCTTCAACTAGACTAGAGTATGTCCTAGTATGAAATACTTTCATTCCTATCCAAAGCTAAGGAGACAGTGATCAGTTGTGTTTATGCTGAGTCAGAAAAGTATTTCATTGTGATATTGTGAATTGAATGTGTTAACGTACTGCAATCATTTAAAATGTGGCACACTTCTCCAATTGTCTGAATGTCTTTAATGAAGACATTTTTAAAATAAGTAACTGTATGAAAATAACACACTGAGGGCAAAAAGCCTTTGCGAAAGTGTTCTCGTAGTTATTATTTTTAACCCACTCAAGGTCACAGTAAGTATATTATTTCTTATCAAATATTTTACTGATAGTTATCTTCCATGTCTCCTCCCCTGAACATTGAATTGTAAACTTGTTGTTTTTATTTAGTTTCTCTTTTGCAGCTTCAGTACAAACATCAGTATATCTAATGGTTCTCAAAACCATTCATGCCTCTGAATTCATATTTTTCAAATAGATTATATTCAATGTACTTAAAAACATGTGGAAAGAACTCTGTTGCCCTTATAAAGTAAAAAGGCTGAAGTACTGACTCTTGAATAATGAAGGCTACAAAGAATTCAGTAAGACTTGTGGGATGAATAACCCCCTCACAAGATGTCTCCGCAGATTTGTGACGTGTTTGCTGGCATCTTCACTTGGAGTGGAAGGTGAGGGGCCTCACCATGCCTGCCAGGACCTTGGGAAGCTGGGAGGCGATCACCTCCGTCATCATCTCTGGAAACTCCACTTTCATGGCGTCCGCCTGGATGAAGGTGCTCAGACAGAACAGGTTGACCTTTTTCACTATCTGTCAGGGGAGAGACATGCATGTTTGTCTTGGTGCTCATTAGAACAGCAGTTAGATAAAGACATGAATCAATGCTCAGAGATGTAGAGGGCTTACATCATGCATGGCGTCCATCAGCTTGGTGAGGTGGTAGAACCTCTGGGAGCTGGCCACCAGGCCCTTCTCCCTCAAGTGTATCGCCTTCGTCAGCTCCCGGATGTAGTTCTGTCTCATGTCTTCAAACACTGCCTGGCTTTTGAGTCCCTCCAGAGGCACTGAGAACAGACGGGAATATAAATAAAATAAATTCTCTAAAACAGATGTTTCCTAAGGGGGAGCAGTCCGTTGCAGGGTAGGCCAAGGGAATGGAAATCGAACAAAATGTATTTAGTTGTTTAAAGATCAAAATATAATTGCATAAATGTGTGTTTTTTGGTTTGATATATTCGTAAGATACAGTAGATTTGGGGATTTCTACTATTTTCCCACTTTCCCAGTCAGAAACTAATAAATGCTTTAGGACAGACGTGTTTTATGTACTTGGTATTTTCTCTAAACACATGTCAAACTATCGTAGTGGGTTATTTCTGCTCAATTCCTCTAAAGCCTCTAAAGGATCAAATAACTGTATCATGATCTAGGAAAGTAGGGGAAACTAGGCAAGTAAACTAAGGGGGTGGGGGGGGGGGNGGGGGGTGCATTTTTCCAAGCCTTGACTGTTGTTTTTCAGTGAAAAACTAGGTCTTGTTAGCAGCTGCTATATAAATCTATTCAAGGTCCACTCTCATGATCATCGAAGCTTCACATCTCTTACACTATTGTATTCTGTGTAAAGTCAAACGAGAAGGTCAACATGAGGGTACAAAGTGAGTCATCTGATGCAGGAAGTGTTGTTGCTTTTACCTGTGTTGAGTAATATTATGGCTTTCATGCAGAGAAACTCCTCGCGGCTAACTTGAAGGTTTGCAAACTCCTGAGGGATGAACTGTATCGCCAGGCACAGCTCGTAAATCGGAGATCTCATCATTTGCTCCCTGACAGACAAAAAACTGATTTACGATTCTGAACCATCAAGATCCTATTTTTCATCCAAAATAATTAAAGTTTGGGAAACAAATGTGTTTAATGATAGTTACTTACTGACTGAGAACCAGATCAGGTGCAAAGTATAAATATTCACTGGTGACATTCTGATAGGAGCGCCACCCAAGAGAGAACACCATCAGGTTCACCCACGAGTACTGGATGAGGGTCATCTGATCGGTGATGTGAAGATTACGAAACCCTTTGAAGAAAAAAGAAAATGCAATATGAATTTATTTTCCCACAGTATAAGCCACCATTTCATTTGTATTTGTTCCGCTCATGGTACGCAAAACCCAATGTACAATAATGGCCAACAAAGCACGTCTCTACAAACACACCATTGAGCGAAAAGGAGCAGGGAGAAGAAAAAAATCTTATATTACCTGCCCCTTTCTAAAAAAATAAATAGATGGCCTGTCCTTCATATTTATTTTTCACAGCCAAACATATTCAAAGCAACAACAAAAAACATCAACACCAAAAAAAGGAAAAGTGCAAAACACCCTCATCTGAGTCCTACTGGAGAAGAAGGTGGAAAGTGGCGCATAATAATAATAATAATAATATCAATAACAATGGGAACTGCAAATAAAGAACAGACATCACATCAAAGGCATCAACAATATTTACCAAGGACCAGATTACATAGACTTATTCACATTCTGCTTCATATAGTCTCATTTTTCTTAATTTATACAATTTCTTTAACTGAAAAATACAATTCTTTAGATCCTTCTGTTGAGAATTCCACAATTTTACACCAACCACCGAAATACACATTTGCTTTAGAGTAGTCCTTGCATAAGGATGCTTACAATTAAATGTCCAAAAACAAACAACTATTGTAAATATACTGGTAACATTCTGCTTTTTGCCCTGTGCATTACTAATAATGTCTGTAACTCAACTATGTCTTTGAATTTAAAGAGTCTTGACTTCAAAAAACTGTTGGTCTGTTGGTGTGTTCTCTTGAATCAGCTTTATTAATTATTCGTACTGCTCTTTACTGTAATATTGACAATGGCTTTATGTTGGTCATATACGTGTTGCCCCAAACTTCTATACAATAAATATAAAATCTCAAAATGAGTGAACAGTACAACATTCTCAATGCCTTGTAATCTAGCAAATACTTTGCCTTGTTTAAAACAGAAATATTCCTAGACCCTTTCGTTTTAACATGTGCTATGTGTGATTTCCATGTCAGGTTATCATCCAGTGTCACACCTAAAAATTGAAATTCAGAAACCCTTTCAATAAAAACTCCATCAATGGACAGGGAAATGTTTTCATCTTTTTTTCTATTAGCAAAAACCATAAACTTTGTTTTATTCAAATCTAGGGTTAACTTATTTTCATCAAACCATCTTTTAAGTTTGACTATTTCATGTCCAATACACTTTGCTAAAATGTTTAAATCATCTCCTGAATTGGTGTCATCTGCAAACAACACAAATTGCAATAATGTTGACGTTTCACATAGTCATTGATGAACAAAATAAAAAGTTTAGGCCCTAAAACCGAGCCCTGTGGGACACCACATTCTATGTTCATACACTCCGATTTACTACCAGAAAATTGTACATATTGTTGTCTGTTATCTAAATAACTTTTTAACCAATCTAGAACTACTCCTCTCACACCATATCTATGTAAATAAAATTAATAAATTATGGTCTATGGTGTCAAATGCCTTTTTTGAGTCAATAAATACACCTATTGTTTATTTATTTATTTCTATAGCTGTTGTAATTTCTTCGGTTATTTTCATTAAAGCTAAAGCTGTAGATCAATTTTTCCTAAATCCATACTGACTCTCACTCAATAACTAATTTTTTTCAATAAATGTATCACATTTTTGGACAAACAATTTTTCAAGGACCTTGTAAAATTGTGAAAGCAAGGACGTCTGTAGTTAGTACATTGGCCTTTGTCCCCTGTTTTAAAAAGTGGGATAACTTTTGCTATTTTCATGCTATCTGGAAAAATACCTGTCTGAAATTAAAGATTAAAGATGTAGCAGTTTAATTATACAGTCAATAGTCGTTTTCACTATTGTCATGTCGATCCCATCACTATCAGTCAAAATCTTATTTTCGCATTTGTCTACAATGGATCTAATTTCATAACAAAACATCAGTGCGCTCCTGATAGGGGTATTGTGATAAACTGGCATTGAAGATAACCTAGATAAAACAATGCAAATATTGATATTATGTCAGGAAAACAGTCATGATAATCTTTTACGTATTACGCATCTTAACTAGTTGTTGTTTTGCTGCTCTCCTTTTGTCTCCCCCAATTCCCCACACACAAATTAGTAAATGTTTTTTCCAAAAGCGAGACATAAGAAAAAAAATCACAGTTTCTGAATTGAACAGAAAGCATTACAGTATTTTATTCCTAAAGACATCCCAATAATATCCTTTTTGTGACTGCTTTTGACCAAGATAATTACGGTATTTTATTCCTAAAGACATCCCAATAATATCCTTTTTGTGACTGCTTTTGACCAAGATAATTACGGTATTTTATTCCTAAAGACATCCCAATAATATCCTTTTTGTGACTGAAGTTGATCAAGATAATTGTAAAGTGAAAATCTAACAGCTCTAAATCATACCCAGTGGTGATCCACTTTGGTTTTTTAACACAATTTATATCCACTTACAGCCTTATTACAAAAAAAACCCTGTACAAAGCCTTCTAACTCTGTCGGTGGTTAAGGCTGTGAGACCTTCGGCGTGTGCTGCCAGTGCATCCCCATGGCGACCACAGTGGTGACCCTGAGCTGCAGAGAGACGTTACCTGGGAGGGACTTGGACCACTTGACGATCCACACCAGCTGTTTCTCACACAGTCTGTTGAGGCTGTTGAGCAGAATGTGGGGCCCATCGGTCTGGGCGCTGTCGAATCCGGAGTACATGATCTCTGGTTCGATATTTTCCAGGATACTGAGGATCTGTTGGGAGAGCTGCTCCTCGTGGATGCCTGGTATGCACGACATGGAGGTCAAGGCGTGATTTTCGTTGGATATGGCAAAGTGTGACTGGAACATCAGGGACGGGGCCAAACTGAAGGCTTTCAAGGCCCCGAAACGCTTCAGCTTCCTGCCTGTGACAGAAGAACAAGGCATGGTTAGATTTAGGGACAAAGAGAGCGTTTCCATGCCAAGTTAATTCATCAATCTTAACATCCTCTTTGATGCTAACCATGAATTCTGAATTACTGTTACATAATTAGTTTCATATCTGGGAAAATAAATCCAACCACTCGTTACCTCCTAGCATCATTCCCGCTTGATAGCACTTCCGGAGGCGACATGCAGGGCAATTTTTCCTCCGAATTTTGTCCACAATGCAGTCGTTTCGCCCAGCGCAGAGATAGCTGTGATGGCCTGTTGAGTGAAAGGATACAGACAAGAACACCATTTTATGAGGAGTTGATCTTAAAATAAGCAGCGAGGGGTAGAGGCATAAGGAGGGGAGGAAATGTGTTGAAGGGCTCTTGACTATTAACATGGCTACTCCATCCACACGGAATCAATGTTCTGTGGAGAGATCTAAAGAAGAAAATTAGATAGAGGCAAGGCTGTGAGGACAGAGTGACACGGCCATGGTGAGACATAGTGGCTATTATGTATCTCGCGTTGCAAGATAACAAGAAAAACAAGTCCAAGCAAGGAACACGGTGAACACTGGTCAATGTGATACTGTTGCTAAATACCTTAAAAAAAAACTGCCATAGAAGGTCAGTAAAAATTGATGTGGTAACTCCCTATCATTATAATTTACTGGAGACGTGTGATAGCACACATCACAGATTCGATTTCCTGAGTGTTTTCTATTAAATGTTTTATCTTGGATTTTTTTCCCCGGGGAACTCTTCCAACTGATCAACAGTTGGCATGGCGGACACATTTTCATTTGCAGGAACCATACAAATCAAGTTGTATCATACAACATGTATTATGTAATATCAACAATGTAAATACACTGGTACTAACAGTACAAAGGCTGGGGGGAAACATCTGCTGTAGAGCTGATAGGTTTCCCCTCTCCAGCTCTACAGGATTGATGGAATATGTGAACAAAAGGAGATGAAAACGGATTTGTGGTTGAAATTATTAGGATTTTGAACATAAAATGTCCTGAAGTAGTCAACAAAAATGCTCTGCTCACCTTCAACTGCTCTTTTAAAAAATACTTTACAGCTCCCGCAGGTTAAGACACCATAGTGGCAACCAGACGCCTCATCCGCACAGATCACACACTGTCTCTGAGGTGGTCTTCTGAAATAAGGAAGAAATGCATACATTAATGAACTCCCATATGAACTAAATGTATATAAAAATTGCAAAAATTACAATTCTGTTTTTGAGCAGAACAACCTAATTTTATCACTTTGGTAAAATGTACAGTATATTGTAATGAAGTCACATAAAGAGATAAATCATCTGAGCCAACCCTAATTAATTTAAAGGCCATAACTAAAAAAATGTAATTAGACATTCACACTTGCCTTAATGGATGGTTTGTTTAACCCTTGAGGGTATTTTAAGCTAAGTAAAGAGTCCTCTTTGTATATTTGCAAAGTAAGGTATAAGACTTATGGACCATTAAGGACCAATTGTGTAGGCCTATAGGTGGGTAAAAAAAAAAAGATGGTTTAAAAAAAATGTCTATCTCAAATTAAAAATAACTAAAATTCGACCAAATAGGATTAGATATTTTCATTTACTTTTACTTGTTTTTAAAACGATTGAAACCTTTTCATGAGATGTTAGATTAGTTTTAGAAATGAAGAGTTTTATAGTTGTTTTATTCCACTTTCTCTGCCACGGCAATGGCCGGTCCAACTGATAAACATGTAATTATGCTTTGGAAAAACCCATCCCCTATCATGTCCTATAATTGGATTATTTAATGTCTGATCATCAAATGATGTGCATATTGGCCTAATTTGTCAAAGCTATTGCTCCATTATCAAGTTAAAAAAGCAGAATGTATTTCAATGTATCACTTGAACTATCAACTAACCATTATGCAAACTTATTTTTAACGTTCATGGTTGACTCAGTTTTTTTTTGTTTTTTTTTAACGGTCAGGTGGTACTTAGTTTTTCTTTCTACGTCAAGTTGAGTGTTTTGTAGTCATAGTTACCCGGGGTACGCGGAATATGGTGATGGGTTCCTTCGAATCATGGCCTGGTTCTGGATCCCCTCATAGCCGTTTTGTGTGAACTGGTCATCGTTCATCCCCACGGACTGGCACCAGTACTGGGTCTCAGGCGGAGACGGCTGCATCTGCCAACGGGGAACTTCGCTCTTGTACATGGTCAGAGGCTGCTGGGCTGCGTGCGTAATGGCATCAAAGTTTCCAACAGCCTTCCCGGACACACCGCACCTGGAGTCGGCCCTCATCTGGATGAGCGCCGGAAGCTGATCTGGCTGGTTCAGGTCCATCAGGAAGTTTGGAGACCCCTCCAGCCTCTGCCTCGCTGCAGCCGGGGAGAAGCTCGCGGACTCCCCGTCACTGAGCCTCAGCTGCTGCTTCCTGTCGCGGTCACAGCAGGTGTCCAGATCAGGAATCTCCGGTGATGTGTCGAAGTTGGGAATGGGGCTGTTCATAATCACAGAAGGCTCTTTTTCATCTTTGATGAATTGAAATGCTCCTGTTGATGTGGAGAAGCTTACATTTCCGCCTGGCAAAGTTTCCGTTGTGGCCACATGTGTCCTCTGAACGTCCCACTGCACAGTGTCACACTTCTGATAGTCACTGCTACGGTCATAAAAATGTTTTCCCGCAAGTGAACCATCGAGTAATGGAAATGGAAAGGAATCAGCCATCGTAGTGATGCTGCTTATTCTTCCGTGTGTGTTATTGTCCATTTTCTGATCCTGGGAGCGCGCAGCAGACTGGAATGCCCGGAGGTTGGATGATGTGTGATGAAAAGCTGCTCAGAGACTCTCCTGTAATCCTCCTCCCCGTCGAAAAAGGCTCTGGCCACGTCTTTTTCTCACATGGGAGTCTATTCCATGCAATTTAACTACGCTTCAGAAACAGATAAGAAAACCAACTGTTATCCTTTTGATGATGAGGGATCAGCAGAGAGATTTTAAACCTTTAAATTAATTGAACCCATATGTAAGTCAATTTCAAATATAATTCCTTGTTCTGGTTTAAGGTGTCATGTTTCAAAGCTGAATATACGTGTCCTTTAAATAGATCTCCAATAGCCTTCCTCACAATTAAATAGTTATTCCTTCAAAGGATGCCAGAGGAAGAGTCAATGCATCAGAGTTGTTGGAGATGTACAGTATGCAGTTTCACAACCCTTTCAGTCGACCTAAAGTAAAATAGCCAGCCAATGAGAATGGATCACTTCAATGTCAAGGGCCAACAGTCTCCACCCCACTGTTCATGGATAAGGTAAACGCTTGGATATTGTTGGCCAAATAAGAAACTATTGAGACTGGGTGCCTTCCGGAGAGGAGATAATGGCTCTTTTAAATCAGTTAAAACCCTCAAAATCATAATCATCCTTTGAAAGTCAAGACCCAGATTTATGTTGTCCATTTTAATTGGTTATGTAGATCTCTTAATTGTTAGGTAATGTTGGCAGGTGAACAGGTTGGAGAATAGTAACACAAAATCACTACATGAGATTTTGGTTTAAAGTTGTATTTGCCACTTTGGTACATCTTCCAATCTCAGTGACAGTGAACTGTTAAAGTAAATTATTGAGGGTAAGAAAAAAAGTCTAATGAATTCAATACAACAGCTTTATGCTACAACTAATAATTCTAATACAAAATATAAAACATATCTAAATGGAAAATATTAATAAATTAGCAGTTAAACTGTCAATTCAGGTTACTTTTTCCATTTCCAAATAACGGTTTGACATTTAAACTGTTGCAACATTAATACAATGCTTTTAATATGTTTTTGTATAATTATTAATGTAGGCCACATTATTTTTCTTAGTTGTGATTTAATTTAAATTTACATTTCTGTTATCTTGGTAAGATAATTTCTTGGTTTGGACAACATTTCACTATTCAAGTTAATCAGCTGAGTGAGGATGTTGCTGATTAATGTGCTAATGATGCACACATAGGCCTTGGCCCCAATCTCCTACGTCATATGTCAGACGATAATCAGAGGGGATTCTCATGTAGTGGACCACATGATTATTGGATAACTGTTTCGCATTCAAATCTACATGATGTGTTCTTCAAATGCTGTAATGGCCTACTTTTCAGACAAGGCTTTTATCTGTAGATGTTACGCTTATCTTGACAACCACCAGCAACAAGTCTTATGCAACCTAATCTGTATCCTTTTTTTAAAACAGATTCCAACTTTAACACTTGGAGTAAATGGATTTGATCAAGCTCTAAAATAAACTGTAATTATGTTGTCAGTTTTGCTGTAATAGCTGCCATGTTCGCCCCTGATTCTTTCTTGAAATGTTTCACAGTAGCTTAAATCTGGTGGTAGCTTTTGCACGCCCGACTGATGGAGATAAGCTGTGTATACCTGACGCAGGTCAGCCTGTTCTCCACATTGTGTTTTGCTGCACAACATTAATCAGAGAGCACAGCAGCATCTGCTGCAACACTTTCAATAACCCATAAACTCTCTGTAACCAATTAGCTGAAGATAATCAAAACATATTTGAATTCAATTATTTAATAGTATGCTTAAGTGATCAACATTTATTGAACACTACATTAAAGCATCTTAAAGTCAATGTCCAGAAAATATACATCAGCATCCTGCTTATTGATTTAAAGATTACATTGCAAGAAAATAAATCAGTAATTCTCAGAGGAAAGAGCGGTAATTATCAAGCTTTCATATCGGACTTATAACCGTGCCACAAAAATATTCAACCATAAGCTTTTTTTTTTTTTTTTTGCAGCTTTGCTACTCCAGAGAGAAAATGGCCACTGAATCAAACCATATAAATAGCTGGTAACCGGCAGCACCATCATATGTTAGCAGTCAGTATTGCATAATAGTGTAACATAGCCTGTGCAAGAAGAAGTTACATTAGTGCCACAGTGTGATTAACTGTACAGATAAAAGGACAGGGACGAAGAGGATTTGGTGAGTTACCTCCCAAGGGGCTCAATTTACACAAAAGCGGAAATTAAATGTATGTTTTTCATATTTTAAGTACAGAATATCTTTTTCTGTCAGTTGTTTTTGTCCAAAAATCTGTCTAAGAGCCCTTTGACCCAGACTGAATGCCTCATTAAGAGGACTTTAAATTGACATTGAGAGGACTTCACCCAGTAAACACATCTCTATTCTTTACATATTTTAATAAATTAAAGAGATATCATTCTTCTGCTCTTCTTTCTGCTGAACATGCATGACTTCTCCCAGTTGCCTGATGAGTTTTGTCACTGTCTCCACGTCCTGGTTGGCCCTTTCCAGCAGCTCATAGCGGAGACTGGAGATGTCCTGTTTGATTTCTTTCAGCTCACCTGTGGGACATGTTTTGTAATTTAGTGATTGACAAAAGAAAATAAATGTATCCAGAAAGCCAGTAGAACTCACCTTCATTAATTTCGTCATTTTCTTTATCTCGCTGTGCTTTTACTATGTATCTTTTGACGAGGCGATTCATTATACTCTGCAATTAAGAATTGAGTAAGCAATGATTGTTCCTTAAAAAAGGAGTATAAATAAAACAAGAACAGCTGACAACTTGTTTCAGTGAGCATTTTTGATCATAATGTGCTAACATGCAAGTCTTCTTTTCAGTACCTTAATGTCCTCTAGATGTAAATTACTTAAATACACTACTAACATTGCATTATTGATGTTTACATCTCTAAGTGTAAGACTGTACAGCTCAGTTATTCACAGGATAATCAGCAGTAGGAAATGAAAAGTGCTTTACTTGGTGACGGGTTGGACAAAGCGATGCATCCACACTCAGATCTGACTTCTGCCTCAACTAAGAATAAAAACAAAAAAGAAGAAGAACTGTCAACACATGCCTTTAAGTTACACTTTTAAACCAGCAATCTATAAATGTGACACAAGAGGGCTCTGCAGAGCTGTTTTAAAGAATATAAGTCAACTTTAAAGGGACACTCTTATGCTAATTTTAAGGGTTTCCTAATTGTGTGCCTCTAATGTGACGTGTTCAAATGTTTTAATGTTCACAAAGGTCTTTATTTTTCTAATTCTGCCTTTACTGCATTAGAAAAAAACTATTTTCACCCTCTGTCTGAAACCAGAGCCCAGTCTGCTCTGATTACTAAGCTGACAGGGTCTCTTGTAATTGGTCAACTGATTAGAGATGTCTAGCACCTTAGCCTATTGCATACAATGTGTTTGAATGCTAGCCAATAGACATGTTATGTAGTAATGTCACTATGTCGCTGGAAGTAAACAAAGGAGTCCAATTGAGGCGTTTCAGGCAGGTGGGGAGTGTGTCGGATTGAACTTTGGGATTATAGCCTTTGCAGACTATTAACATGCACAAAAACCTATATAACACACTACAGGAAAGGCCAGACAGTTAAAAGTGTCTCTAGCCATTCATTTACATTCAACAAAATGTATTTAGTCATTCTGTTACATGCAATATTATTATTACCTTATTAAGCTCCATCTCATCATTTGAATTTCCTTTTATTTTGCCTTTAGGTCCACCCCAAATAAGTTCCCTTATCCCAAGCAAGAGGGAAAGGACAGACTTGGAGCTGGGTACGAGGTTGAAGGGCACGGACAGGGTTCCGCCGTGCTCAAAGTACGAGAACCACAGCTTAGCTCTGGCAAACTTCCACTCAACATCAGAATCATCCTGCACCAGAGAAGAAGAGGTAGGAGCCAGTATAAACATTTAATGAGCAACAAAAATGTGCAATTTGATTTTTTTTCGTGTTAATGGAAAACATTGACACCATTACATATACAAAACTAGACGGAATCTGGCACAAATTAGTAAATCTTAACATGTATTGGCATGTCTGTCAAAATGCTCAATATCACTAGATACTTTATGGATGGTTATGACTTACCTCAATTTCTTGGAAGGAGCTGTTGAACATGGCAATGAGCATATTCAGCAACACAATCACCATGATGATGTTGTACACCCCATACAGAATATAGCCAATATTCTCAATGAATTTATGGTCGATGTTGATGACCACTGATTTTACTTCTGACAAGCCAAAGATGGCCCAAAATAGCGTTTTAAAACTCTCTTCGAGCCTAGAAAAGAAGAGGAATGGGAAGTTTAGTGCAACGGGATGGCCCTAAATCATATAATTTCAACACAGATTTAATGTCATGGCACAAATGATGTGAAATATCAACGTTTTCAAGGCTTTTTCAGGCAATTGCATTACTGTCTATAGTTGATACTTACGTTGTGAAGGCATCGTTGTATTTGGCCCCGAGGTAGTACGAGTACAGGTTGAACATTCCCACCATGAAAGCCAGAAAGACTGTTATGAAGATCACCATGAACTTAAAGAGGTCTTTAACTGTTCTTCCTAAAGAGATCTGTAAAGGCCCAAAGCTCTCGTTGGCAGGCAGGATGTATGCAATGCGAGAGAAACTCAGCACAACTGCAATTGCATAGAGGCCTTCGGAGATAAGCTGTGGGTCCGATGGCATCCAGTTGATACGAGCTGAAAATAAACATGCCATATACTTTCACTCCATTTAAATTGCTGTTCCTGTGTATACTCATAGGGTTAAGATTTAGCCTGGGTTTGTTGATACTGGAAATCGCGCTATCATGACTGATGATAATTAACACATCTTAGTGGAAAAAGCATTTTTCAAATGATTTTCCCTGTCCAATGTCTCAAGTTTGATGGAGAAAACTAAAACTTTAGATATCCACCTATCAGATCAACACCTTAATTAAATAAATATATATAAATATGGAGTAAGAACAAATGCAACCTACATTTTAAGTCTGAATCAGTAAATCCTCTTTAATACAATATTTCCTGTAGTGCTATTTCTACATTTAGATTGTGTTGGTGTTGGAGATATCGGCCGTAGAGATGTTTACCTTCTCTCATATAATTGAACTCGATGGTACTCGGCTGTGGTGTTTAAAGCAATAGAAAAATACATTGTAAAACTCAAGAGCAATGCTTCTCATCAGAAATAATTACCTGGTTACACAAGATATAATCCACAGAGGAACAATTTTCTGACAACTGCATCATTGTGGAAAAGGGAAATGTGCGTCTACTCATGGACAATAGCCTCGTGCTCTCACTCATTGGCGGGTGTAGTTTAGTAGAAAGAAAATAGTTCCCATGTGAAACTGCTCACAACAATAATAATAATAATAATAATAATAATACATTTGATTTATAGCACACTTTAAAAACAACATAATCTCAAGGTGCTTCACAAAGCTATAAGGAGAAAATAATAAAACAAATAAAATAAAAAGATACCTAACAAGGTCTGTGAATCATCTTGCGTAACCTGGTCAGGATTTCTGGAAGGAGACATTTCTGTTGAAGCAAGCCAAGTGCTATTCAATGTCATTATTAGACGTCTGACATCTTTACAACTTTCTCCAAAACTTGTCAACTCACATCAAAAAAATGTAGCTAATAAATAGCACTACAGGGATACAATATGTTTTGAACAAACTGTCCTTTTAAAGTTTGAATCAACCAATACACTTTATGTCCAATTCAGCAAATATCACCCCAGAGCCCATGCTTCGTGTGCAGCCTTGACTCGGTTAATGGATTTTTTTAACCAAACAAGCCAATGTTTTTCCAGCCTGGACAGGAGAAAAGCACTGGAAGCGAGAAGTATGGTAAATCTCACACATGTTAACATTCTAAAAGAGCACTGATGGAGGAGTGTATTTGTTTTGGTGTTGAGTTCATATACACAACTTCCTGCAGAACCCTAACCCTCCACTTTATAGGTTAGTTGCATATATATGAAAATTAATTATAAACTACTTATTTTATAGGAATTATTTGGATATTTACCCAGCTGGAAATACTGTATCTCAAATGGCAAGGTCATGTTGGACAGGTCAGTGTAGTGCTTGTCAACATAACACTGGGCAGAATACGCATGCCAGAAAGCCATTAATCTGGCAATGAAAGATGTCATAAAAATGGCCAAGATACTAAAGTCAAGAAGGTTCCAGGGCTCTGAGATGTATTCCCTGATGTCCTGCGACCAAATATCTTTACATTCTTTCCAGATCTTTCCTGAAAGAGAGAAAAAAAAACATGTTTAATCGCACTGTTTCTGTCTCAAATGATCATAAATCAAGGATATAATGAATTGAGTTGTGAGTTAAATCACAAAGGGTTTAGTGATGCTGTATGCTGTTATAAAGTGTGTGATAAGGTTCCAAAGTCTCGTCTGCAGAGAATAGTGAAAGAGTCACCTTGCCTTGTGCCTTTGGAAAGTCAGTACCAGAATAATTCATGTAGACCATCTGGTAAGAATACATAATTGTCTTATCGGCGATTTAGATGTTTGGGGATTTATTACCCTATAATGACAGAATCCATGACCTGCATGTATAGCAGAATTATGGTGTTGTAGACATTTGTAAGAGCGATGGGAGAGGGACAAATACACAAAACAAAAATATATAAACTAATGTCACTGAATTTTTTTTGGCAGATAGTTATTTTAAACATGAATGTGGAAGGGGTCCTCTACTGGACTCTCTCTGTCCTCTCACATCTCGGCAGGCTCGTCCGTCCCCTCCTGCTCCCTGGCTAAATGACGCACTGCGTGCTAATAGAACCATCCTTAGGGCAGCAGAGCGGAAACGGTGGAAATCCAAATACCATGACGACCTCCTAACCTATCAGGCTCTCCTCTCCTCTTTCTCTGCTTCGATCTCTCAGGCAAAAAGCACTTTCTTTCAAGATAAGATCCAATCTTCCTATTCCAATCCCAAAAAACTATTTTCCATCTTATCCACCCTCTTGGACCCCCCCAAAGCCCCTTCCCCCTCCTCCCTTCTGTCAAGCGACTTTGTTACTAAAAAAGGTTGATGATATTCGCTCTTCTTTTTCTGACTCACCTTTACTCACCGCTGGGTCACCAGACCCTCCCTTCACCCACACACTTACCTCCTTTTCCCCTCTCTCTCCAAGTGAGGTTCTTACCCTCATTACCTCTGCCCGTCCTACCACCTGTCCTCTGGACCCTATCCCCTCAAACCTCCTTCAAACTATCGCTCCTGATATTCTACCGTTTCTCTCCCATTTCATCAACACTTCTCTAACTTCTGGTCACTTTCCAAACAGTCTCAAGGAGGCTTGAGTAAACCCTCTCCTAAAGAAACCCACTCTCAACCCGTCTGATGTTATAAACTACAGGCCTGTCTCTCTCCTCCCGTTCCTGTCTAAAACACTTGAACGCGCTGTCTTTAAACAACTCTCCTGTTATCTCCATCAGAACAACCTTCTGGACCCGCACCAGTCTGGTTTCAAGGCAGGTCACTCCACAGAAACTGCCCTCCTTGCTGTCACTGAGGAACTGCACACGGCTAAAGCAGCCTCCCTCTCCTCTGTCATCATCGTTCTGGACCTGTCTGCTGCATTCGACAAGGTGAATCATCAGATCCTCCTTCGCACTCTCCAAGAACTTGGAGTTTCAGGCTCTGCACTTTCCCTCCTCACCTCATACCTCAAAGACCGCACCTACAGGGTAACTTGGAGAGGGTCCGAGTCCGACCCTTGTCAATTAACTACAGGGGTCCCTCAGGGCTCTGTCCTCGGTCCCCTCTTCTTCTCTCTGTACACAAACTCGCTTGGATCAGTCATTAGCCCGCATGGTTTTTCATACCACTGCTACGCTGATGACACCCCACTAATTTTTTCTTTTCCCCGCTCAGAGACCCAGGTCGTCGCACACATCTCTGCTTGTCTAGCTGACATCTCTCAGTGAATGTGTGCTCAACCTTGACAAGACTGAACTGCTTTTCCTTCCGGGAAAAGATTGTGCCACTCTTGACCTAACAATCAACATCGGAACCTCTGTTGTTTCCCCGACTCAGACTGCAAGGAATCTGGGTGTGACCCTAGATAACAAACTGTCCTTCACTGCAAACATTGCTGCTACAACCCGCTGCTGCACATACACGCTTTACAACATCAGGAGGATACGACCCCTCCTGACCCAGAAAGCGACGCAGGTTTTGGCCCAGGCTCTCGTCATCTCACGCCGAGACTACTGCAACTCCTTCCTGGCTGGTCTACCTGCATGTGCCATCCGACCTCTGCACCTCATCCAGAATGCAGCGGCTCGTCTGGTCTTCAACCTTCCTAAATTCTCCCACACCACACCGCTCCTCCGCTCCCTTCACTGGCTTCCGGTAACTGCTAGAATCCACTTCAAGACAATGGTACTTGTGTACCATGCTGCGAATGGATCTGGCCCTTCCTACATCCAGGACATGGTTAAACCATACACCCCAGCATGTGCACTCCGCTCTGCATCAGCCAAACGGCTCGCTGCACCCGCACTGCGAGGGGGACCCAAGTTCCCATCAGCAAAAACATGTGGGTTTAATAATGAAAAATAGGTGATCCGACAGGGCTTATGGTAAAAGCCAAGGTCTAAAGTCAAACATAGTCGTCGCTTAAAAGATATATAATATAAAAAATTATACTTATGTTTACTTTGAGCTTATATGAGGTGTATATAACCTTAAGCATAGATAGAAATTAAAGACGGTAGAAAAAACAGAAAAAGAATCCACCGTATGGAGAAAAAAAAAACTCTGACACTACAGTTTCCCGTTACGGTCCTCCAGTTACAAATGGGGTGAGGAGTGAGAACCCTGAAGTTTCCTGAAACCGCACATCTCTCCTGAAAGACACTTCTACGTCGTCATGACAGACGTAGACAGTGTTGACCGAAAGGACGGACAGACAGGTGTTAAGACATGGCAAAATGACGTGTTAACATGGAACGACGCTATCGTCTGAAACACAAGTTCAGTTCGACACTCAAGACCGACGAAGATAGAGACTTCCAGAAGAGTTGACGGCCGTAGTAGTAGCAAGGGTGACGGAACAGTACAAGTTGTGGTCATAGGTCAGTACAATTTCTGGTCGTCGTAACGCGACTTAGGAACTTCATCATAGTGAGGGGCAGACTTATATACAAGACTAGAGACACATCAGATACGTACTATACGGCCTGCATAGGTGACGTCACCAGACTTTCTCAGACATCTCGACATGTAAGTATGGCGAAAGAAGAAAAGAAAGATGGTGGGAGTTGAGTGATTGCTATATTTGACATAAAATGTAGGTTTATATCCGCTGACCCACAAAAGAAAAATGAGACGGCATCTCGTGATAACCAAACTATACATTTGTAACAAGAATTTCAACCGATAACTACCTTTGACAAAAAAGTTTCCCGTGAAATCGTATCCTGCGCAGGTGTGAGTGAACTCAGTTTAACGTCGAAAACATGGTCCCATTACAAACAGATCAACACCCAAATAGACAAACAGGTTGTGAACGACCATCAATACCATTGCAACGCACCTTCGCTCTTATTAACGATTTTACTGATATCCCATTTGGTGCAAAGAGTAAGTTGTAAAGTGGTACTATGCCGACCAGGTTCCATCGAGATGTCACAGTTTCATGAAGAATGTGTAATCACCCAAACTTAACCAACTGGTAGAGACCAGACAGTAATAGGAACCAAAACTTGATTTAATATATTGAGAGTTGTTGATAAGTATTACATGACGTAAGGTTCCTGTAAGGACCAATGTAATGTAATGTAACGTAAATCGACTGCGAAAATAGGTTTCGCTGAATGTTATTCACGTAAGCTGGGCTGTTTTATGTTGGAACTTCTTTTGTCTTAGTATATTCATGTAGTCCAAAGTATCTCGGTTTTGTAAAGTTCACGATGAGTTGACCGAAATCTATTCGGTCAGGAAATAATCATATATATTCACGAAACAATCATTAAGATAGCGAGCTTCACCTCAGCTTCTCTACTCAAAAGTCAGACGCGGCCTTCTACACATTCGATAGACGACAGGACTAAAGTTACCCCTCGAGTAAGGTGGTAAAACCTCGGTCCTATC